GGCCGATAAGACTATAATTGATTTCAGGGATAATTTGCAAAATACCCTCGTAAGTTGAGATATATGCCAAAATGCCCCTGAAAGATGTGGGTAGAGCGGAATGCCTTTTTGGGCCGAAAAAATCTTTGTGTTGTGCCCCTGTCAGGTGGGTGTGGAACTTTGCAATCTGGACCTCCCCGTTTGGGCCTTGGCCTTTTGAAAAAATAAAATAAAATTGCAAAATACCTCTGATGTCGGTTGCACCCCATCAAAGTTGGACTTAGTCTGATTCTGCTGTTCTCTTTTTTTTTCCCTTCCAATCCATGCGGAATTATGTTATGACCCTCAGCCAAAAGTCATTTTTAAGTACATTTCTACAAGTTCTTTTTTTTTAGCTGGATTTTTTTTTTTTTTTGCGCTATGGCTGCTGCACATAACACTGCCCGGATCGGGCCAGACAGCACCATCTGGCGGCAGTACTTCCGTCCAGAGGCTTGGTGCTGTCTGTCTGATTGGGCTATGATTGTGGATGGCTCAGGCTGCACCCGCTACTTAGTGTCAGGATCAGTGGGAGGTGTCGTCTGCACCCGCTACTTAGTGTCAGGATTAGTGGGAGGTGTCGTTGCCTACCGTCTTCCCCCCAACATAACGCACCCTAAAAATGAACGTATACGAGTTATATTTCCGGCCAGATACAGCCCAAATGAGGGTGCGTTGTGTTCAGGGGAAGACCGTAGTCACAGGCTTAGTAGCTTTAAACCACCAGACAGTACATCCTCGAGTCGTGCCCCCGTTAACGCGCCACGACTTTAGGAAACCTACAGGCTACTACAGGAGCGACCAAATTCGTCCGACTAGAAACGTTTCTACTCTTTGTTTTTTTCCACGGCCGATAGCTGGACCAAGTACTTGCGGTTTAAGCAACCTGGACACTTGGGGTGATAAGGGCCCCAGCGGGCCCATAGAGGAGTGTTAGGTAGAACGGGACCCGGACCCAGGAGACCCGATCAGGTCCACTGGGCCGAGTTAGTCCCTGCACTTGCTTGCGCATAGACAGTAGTTTCTTAATAACCGCGCAGAGCAAGCACGCATTTTCGAAAGAATCTGTTTTGCACTATGGCTGCTGCGAAAAAACTCCAACTTTAGCAAACTATGTTCGCAAGAGAGAGGAGTTTCTCTCTTATAAAAGCCCAACTAATCCAAGCTCCAATTACAATTCTACCCCGTAATTTGAACGTGACGTGGATTATTGGAGTATGAGAGCAGGAGCCGACTCAGCAAAGACTAAGGTCGGCGAAATGCAAAAACACAAGCACGCTGAGAGCGTACCAAATGTGTATCTTCGGAATTGAAAAACTCTTCGAAAAATTTGAACAGATTGGACCAAGAGTACCATAGCCTAGGTTCTCTTCAGAAGGTGAGAGAGTAGGCGCCAAGAGGGCTAGCTATGGCTTTTACCACCGCGCGTTGCGGACGGTAGTAATCTGGCTTCCCTCTACCGGTTTCGGCTGGAGCCAGATTCCAGCCTCGTCAGGAGGGTAAAGATCAACTCCGATGCTTGGATTAGTTGGGCTTGCACTAACGATAGTCTGTAAAATTTGTAGAGCTAACTTTCCACAGGCAAGGGGCTGTAAGCTAAGCTTGCACCAATGATAGTCCGAACAGCGGGTAGAATTGAGAGGGGGGGAGAGGGGAAGGGACCTGCCGTGCACCCCTGGCCTCGATATTAATTCGTGCAAGCTTAGCTTACAGTCCCTGGCCTCGATATTAATTCGTGCAAGCTTAGCTTACAGTCCGTGGCCTCAAATTAATATCTATAACGGACTATCAGTTTTTCTTTTGGGGGTGGGGGCGGGGGGGGAGAGGGGAAAGGACCTGGCGT